CCTTATTGATTTCTAATTAATTTAAATATTAAAGGATAAAATTAACAAAATAAATTTAAAATCTCAAATTTTAATTTACTGAATTAACCCATAAAATCTATAATACCCCTTTTAGTTTACTTTTTCTCAAAATATTGTTCGCTGTTTCTTTCTCTCGTTTTACAACATTACAAGAATCCGGTAAATATTTCAGTGCATGTTCTTTCAGTTTCAGGGACCAAACTACACGTCCTGCAATTTTATTTTATTTATTTTTTCAATTTTCTATAAAGGAAACATCTCTATGAGAGATATATTTTAGGTTGGGATTTATTTATTTGAATGTTTTCCTCTTTTATACATAGTTTGGATGCCTTCCATGTTGCCCCCTCCGCACGTCTACGAGTCACGACAAAGCAAGCAAGGACAGCTACTAATCAATGTAATTACATAATCATTAATAATCAACTACAATTGTCAGTAGCTGCGGAACTAGGATTAGATGGATGTGTCTTTCAAGAGCTGTACCTCAGATGCTTTAATTAATCGCTGATATAACTGGAATTTGATGAACTGGATGAAATAATATATTTCTACGTTGTTGTTGTTCTGGAAGTGTAATATTTATTAAAAAAATTTATTATTGAATATAATAAGATGCTATTTATTTTTAATTTGAATGGTCCTTGCCTAATTTACACCGTTATATTATATAATTTAATCTGGTGGTACTGCTCTGAAAAAACCACAACCACATTTGATGATGATAAAGGGCCCTGCTTGGATGGATGCATGGGGCCTGCCCATCTTGTAGAAAATTTGTGAAAAGGTTTCTCCTCTTCAGAATCCCGGGATTCAAAATGTTGATCTATGATTGAATCTTCTCTCTTTATTTTTATGTTTTAAAGGAGTTTTTTAAAAAAATTATTATTTTTTTATTTTCCTTATTTTAAATTTATTTTTTATATTTTTATCTGATTATTATAATGTGTTGATATAAAAAATTTTGAAAATAAAAAATATTATTTTAATATATTTCTAAATAAAACATATTTTAAAAAATAATTTTTATTACACTGAATGAATATTAATTAAAGCACAATGATTAATAGTTTTACAAGGCTGATAAGAGTTCTAATAATTTGTTATTGTATTTTAAAAATATTTTTTTTTAATTAATATTTTTTTTAAATTAATATATTTTTAATATTTTTAAATTATTTTAATATATAGTTTTCAAAAACAAATATAACCGATCTGGTAGAGACGCTAGTATCCCAGAGGAATTGAGAAGATTTAAAACGACATGTTTGGACGTTCACAGGTTCATTTATGAGAATCCCATAAAGCCTGGAAGCTGGCAGACATGACATTTGGCCAATGCTCTCTCTCTCCTTTTTCTCATCTGTTTTTGTCTGTTTTTCCCTCTTTATTTACAGAAATATTATTTTAATATGATCCGGTACATGAGTGTACTGGTGCCTTGATAATTAATAATTCATTTACTCTTCTTAATCTGCGTTTTTTTTTTTTGTGTAAATTAATGTAATGGTAACAAAAAAAAGGGATGACCAGTAAAGAAATAATAATCAAAGTTCGTATAATACTCAAAATGACAGCACCGGAAGCTCCTCTAGGATGAATATTCTGTGCCAACCACCGACCTGACTTGACCACATTGCCTCCCATTCCACCTCACCCCTCTTGCTGCTTTAAGCAGATAGTTGGTATCTGCTTTCCTCCTGAACAGGATATGTGCAACCCACTTCACAATTATCCGGCAAGCTTTACTAAATATAAAACTCAAATTTAATCATCTGTAGTTGATACGTCAAACCCTAAATTCATTTTCTAGAAGCAACGATTACATTCATGATTGGAAATTATTTATACAATTCAAGCCGACGAGGGATACGAACAAAAAGTACTGTGGCACGTATGATCTGCTACCTTTTGGGCGATATATCTAAGGATCAATCATGTACTGGGCAGAAAATCCAGGGATATGGACGGATGTTCGTGGCCTTTTATGCCTCATCCAGATTAAACCAATCCAGGATCCACATTTATATCTTCCATTACCCTTTATCAATTTTAAAATAGTGTATAGTTGAGATTGTTTCGTTCAAGGGAACATGCATGGACACATTTGTTCTGCATTTAAGAAATGATTTCATCAAGCTGGAAGACCGATACATGGATCGATAACTTCCATCATTCAAAGAGGGTATGAAGTTTATGTCGTCATAGTAGCAAAACTTACTACTCAATTGATTATCATTTTGGTCGCCATCCTCCGTGGTAATTAATTAATTAATGACGCTGGATCGACACCTGTGAGTTTCAAAGATATTGTTATGCTATTTCTATGTCAGAAAGATTACGGATGATGAGACCATGTCTATCATCAAGAAATTCCACTGGAATATTATTAGTTCATATTGAACAGAAAGTCCAATGGAAATAAGCTTATTATATTATAGCGAATTTCCTGAAAATTCTGCCACTTCCAAATAAACAAGTGGGAAAAGATATTGGGTGGTCAAAATGATTGTTTATTATTAATTTAAGCTGCTAGGAGTATCGTCTGACGCAGTTTTTCTCCTGGATTTGAACTTTTGGACGTAGTTTGAAGTGCAAACTTTAGCTTTGTTTATGGTAACAAGAAAAGGAAGGGAGGAGACAGGAAATCCAAGTGGGGATGAGGGGTGGTGGGTGCATTGCACATTGGTTTCTGTTTCCTGAAGCTAACAGTCTGCTTTTAAAGGATCTATGCATTCAGCAGTCGAAACATGAAGAAATCAAAAGGAAAAGGAAAGGAAAGGAAAGGAATACAAGATATGGCTCGTCCTCCCAAAATCCATCAAGCAAATCATTTGACCGGTTCTTTCTAACATTAATTTTGAACTTCTGGGATATACCACCTGCGTGTCATGGAAGATTACACTGTGCAATGAGAACTGAGAAGAATTCGTGTGGGACTGTATTTGGGTACTTAAAACGTGATTATAGTAAATTATTATTCGATTCCTACATTTTTAGTGAAATAATTAATTAGTTAATTTTTTTTTGGGTTTAGAAATCCTAATATGGAGTCTATGTTTTTATATTAATTAATTTGATTGTAATTAACTTAGTCCCTTTAATTATTATCCTTCATCTGTAATCAAAATTTTCAATCTCTACAAAATTAAAAATGCATCTAGAAATTAAAAAAAAACTAATAATAAACTTTGACAAATTCACTAACTTATAAAATCATTTTATATACTCTTGATCATATATATAAAGTAATTAACTATAATTATAAAACCCAACTCGATTTAACAGTTCAATTCTATGATGAAAATTTAACCAAATTATATGTTCATATAGTTTCATCATCTCTATCACTTCTCATTAAACTAACTTGCAACGTGCCGTTTCTCTAAGTTTATTTATTATTTATTTTTTTTTGTTTGGTCTTGTTCTTATATATTACTTTGACTATTATTTTTATAACATTTTCAATATACTTTCAATTATTATTCATGTGGATTTTTCTAAACAATTCACTACAAAAAAATTGATAAATATAAATAAAAATACCAACAAAAATTTCCTATATTCATATATTATCTGGATAAAAGTAGTTCAAACAGTGGAATGGAAGCATGATGTAAAACCTGAAAATTAAATAACCAATATCGCTCTTGTTTGAGCTATAAAATTCATTTTTTTTTTAAAAAAAAAAACCCGTTAAACAGTTGGGATATGTACTGCCATTAGACCTTTGAACAAGTCCCTTTTAGGTTTGGTTTGATTTGATTTACTTGGAACGAAGATCAATTCTTGCTTCTTCTTTTATTTTATCGAAATATATTTCTTCTTCTTCTTTTGTTCCAATGATTGACAAGGATGGCATTGTAGAGGTACATTTAATATGTTAAAAGAAATGCCACTTATCTT